ATAAAAACTTCCTCAAAAAAGGCACAAAATAAAACTTTTTAAAAAGGAAAGGGGGTACAAATAGAATAATAAATAACAATATGTAGAAATAAATACAAATATATTGTAATGATGTCAAATATAAATGTAATAAAGGTTCAGTTTTAAGGAAAATAATCTTCAGATTCAAGAAAATTACTGTTTCCTCAAAGAAATATACACATAAGGATTCAGAGAACTTGAAAAAAAGATGGAAGTACATATACCATGCAAACACTAATCAAAAGAACCCTAATAAGAGAAAGGTATATTCGTGGTTATATTCGTAACAGAAAGGTAGATTTTTTTATAACGAAGAACATTTCATAATGATGAGAGTACTGTCATTCAGCACAGTAAAATTCAACAAGAAATCAAAATCATAAACAACAAAATCACCATATATGTGGACATTAAGCCATAAACTCGAATAACCTATGGTTCAAAAGAACCTATGGTTCAAAAATTTATCTAAACTTTCATTGTGTGTCATGAACCTATGGTAGAAATTAGAAACTCTTTCCACTGAATGATAAAATATTATTATGGCAACTTTCAAGATACACCTAAAATTATGCATACAAGGAAATTAATAATGTTAAAATAATATATTAGAAAAAAATGCTATAAGTTAATGAAAAAGACTACAATTCAATAATTTTAGAAAAAGAACAACACATTAATGCAAGGAAATTAGCAGAAGGAAATATGAATCTAATATCAGATATGAAAGAAGTAAAGGAAGCATAATATAGCGTATCATATCAAGAGAATCAAAAATTGCTTCTTAAAAGACAAAGAAGTTGGTAAACCCTTGGCATGATAGATTAAAAAGAGAACAAAAGCAAAAATAGGAAGAGTCAGGAATGAGAAAGCATTATATCAGATTCTAAAGACATTAAAATATCATAGAAAGATATTGTGAGCAATGTTATAAAATAGCTTTTCAATGCCAATAAAATGGACAAATTCCTAGGAAAAAAAAAATGCCAAAGCTGATACAAGGGAGACTAAAGTCTAGGAAGGTATATAACTGTGAGAAACGACTCCACAATTAAAAATCTTTCTATAAGTATTGATGGTTAAATGGCTCCACTTGCAAATTCTAAAAAATTTTTAAGGATGAAATCATAACAGTACTACTACACAATTCTTCCAGAGAAGAGATAAAAGAGAAGAGATAATCACGTATCAATTCACTCTGTAAGACCAACATAACTTTGAAAGAAAACATTACATTATAAAAAAACATCACATGAAAACAATTTATGTAATGATTGCACCCATTAACATGTTGCAAATATTATCAAAGCAAATACAGCAGCATTTAAATGGTTATAAGTGTTGTTATTCATTTGATTGATGGTTCAGTAAAGAAAAGCAAATAATACAAGTTGCCACAGTATCCATGGGCAAGTTACTTCACCTTTCAAAAAGTTTAATTGCCCTTAAAGTTTTAATTTCCTCATCTGTAAAATCAAGACCATAATAATACATATCATATGACTTTTATGCACCCACAAAATGCTCAAAAAAAATCTTAGCTATTACTAGTGCCGTCTTAAAAATGATAATATGAAAGAGAAAACATATCAAATAATGTAGCAGACCAAAGTATCATTTATGTAGCTCTCGGTCAGAAAACTTTTACAATGTAAAAAATTACCCCAAAACTTGGAGGCTTTAAACAATCATTTACTTAGTCGACAGTTCCACAGGTCAGAATTTGAGCTAGACACAGCAGACTGGTACTGATACTCTTAGCTAGGCATTCACGTGTCTACAGTCATCTGGGTCAGTTAGGAACTGGCTAGTCCTGGGACAGGGCAGTGGATCAGCTAGGAAGTCTGGTCCCTGTGTCATGTCATGTCTCCATTCTAACTGGGTAACTTGGGCTCATACACATGACAGTTACAGGGTTCCAAGAGAGCAAGAAAGGAAAGGCCTCAATATGTAAACATACTACACATTTCTGCTTGTATAACATTGGTATTGTCTTATTGTCCAGAACAAGTCACATGGACAAGCCAAGAATTTGAGAGCAAGGATTTGGATATAGGGTGTCTTGAATAAGTTGGGGACAATTATTTCAACAATGTTCCACAAGTTCCAAAGCAGTAATTCATTATGTTAAAAAGATAAAGGAAATTGTACACATTGGTTTTATCCAATAAATTACCAAACCATTGAAATTCAGTAAGAACAAACACTTTTCTCCCCAAACTAATTCCTTTACTTAGCATCTCTATTTATATGAAACCATCCCTAAGTCTTTGAGACCTTACCTTGTTAACCTGAACATGCCTTTCAAATTTAATACTACTGCCAATTCGAAACCTTTCCCAAACTAAGCAAATCAACCAATGGTTTTCTCTTTCACAGTGTTCTTATTTCTGCTCAGCTCATGACATTTCTTTATCTAGAAGATGCTTTCTTTGACCCTGCTCCCTTGAATCATTTAATGTAACTCATCATTTAAGTTTCAAGTTCAAGTACTACTTAAAGATGACAACAATTTATTCCCATTAATATAACAAAAAAAAGTTGGAGATCAAACATTTATCTAAACTTTCATTGTGTGTCATGAACTTTAATGGGCCTAGCCACATAGGTAATATTCCATTTACATTGTTCCTTTATATTTCTGGAGAATGTACCTTCTGGATGAGACAAAAAAGTTTATTGTGTACAGGTCATTTTTTTTTTTACTTCCTTGCAACTTCCATAGAATTCAATATGTCAAAATAGACTTATTAAGTTCTTGATATATACATATTTATCTCATAGTTTTTACTGATTTTGGTGAAAATTTTTATAAATTTCCTGCTCTATATACTTGCAGTATCTTAGCATTAAGTAAGGGAATTCAAACAGTGAATTTCAAAGTCACTGGATAATTATCACTTGTATCCATAAATCATATATTTTATTGTTTAATAATCTAAGTGTTTATCTAGCTAACTTTTATATAATATGAGTCTAGAAGTGCACTATATCTTTTACTTCATCTATCTAATGAAAATTAAACTTATGCCTTATATTATGTAGATACTATGCCTAAATTAATATAACTGGTTTTAGGAATTTCTAATTTAGATTTTTTTCTCTGAGGACAACTTGTCTTCTCTACACATGAACTATTTAAAATGAATGAAAGCATCTCTTAGAAATCTTTTCCCTAAGCACTGAAAACTAATTAGTACATCTAGCAGCTATGTTTTTGTTTTTCTTTTATTCTTGGTACAGACTGCTTGAGAAAAAAGGTTTTTACTTGGTGCTAGCATCTAAAACATATTTGCTATGTCTGATTAACTGGCTTATGAATTTCAAATGTAATTATCCATAGATATTTACTAAAATTCTTAAGAAAGAAGACTACTGTATACCAAATGATTAGCCCTGAAAACAGGCATACAGATAGAATTCTAATTATAAAAAATGACAAATTTAAGTTAGCTTATTTATTTGGTTACAGCATAATCCATTTGAGATATGAAGTGGCATATAAAATAGGTACAAAGCCAAAACAATATCAATAATTGAAAAATCATGGAAACAGACAAAACAAAAAGAAAAAATAATAAGACCAGGTGAAATGGATACACATTGTCCTCTGTTTTTGTTAGAAGTTGTCCTAAATTTGACTCAAATTTTTTTAAGCTCTATAAGCAGCTTATACAAAATCAATAGTTAGTTTCAGAGAGCACATGAGACTAAGGAGGATTTATTCCCTACGTCTCAACAAAGGAGATACTGGGTGATATAGTGGTCATCACTATAATAGATACAATAATTATCTGTTTTCCTTTTCCTTTATTGTTCTTCTATTCAAAATCAAGGACAAAGCTTAAGCACAGTTGCATAAAAGCAAGTCCATGAAATCCAAAATAACACATTTGAGTAGGCAGCTCTCTTTTCTATGAAAAAAAAATAGAAATCTTGAGAAAGGGATGGACTACATGTTTTTAGATAGTCCTCCAGAAAGATTATTTTTCCAAATTAGACATGATTGCAAAGCAAAGAATTTAAGCTTTTGTTTTCCACTTTGAATCTAGAGTATAGATATTCTACATTGCAGTAGTGGCCCATCCAATGCTTTGACAATCAGTTTGGCAGAGTGAATTCATTGTTTTTCTTATCTGTTAACATTAATTTACACTAATGATTAATATAGGAAAACAGGACATTAAGAGTATAAAAATAATCGCATTTTTGTGAAAGCTAGAAAGAACCAGAACTTTCAGTGACAGGAAAAGAAGTGTACTTTAGGATAACAAACAAATTAACCTGGCTGAAAATAATATATAGAGAAACAAAAAACTGTTTGATGGAATTTTGAAATATCATAGGATACCATATGGATAAAACATCACTGGAAAATCACATTTGCATTTTATGAAGAATGGATAGCTATTTTCATAATGATTTTCTTTGAATGTAAGAAAAAGAATTTATAAATATTACATATATATATATATATATATATAATTCACATAGAACTAGGAAACCTTGAACTTATAAATACATTTTTAACTTTAAAGAAACACTTTAGTGTTAGCAAGACCAGATTTGCAATTTATTTTGTCTAATGCTAGAAAGAAAAATTTATAAATAAAATAACTAAATAATTTATTATTCAGATTTTGAAAGTGAATTACTTCAATACTAATAAGAAAGCTGGAAAATTAGGCATAGACTGAGGCTAGGCTGGGCAAATGGAATACAGGGAGAGCATACAAAGCACACACCCAAAGCAGATCAGATACTCTTCCCCAGAAACAACTCTCTTCAAGCTGCTTCATCAGAAGAGTGCCAACTTTCTGATCTTTATTCACACATAGGTCAGTTTAAGTTTTAAAAATCATGCTCTCAACTGTAAGTCACTAATACCGAATACGGACATTCCTTTTTTCCTTAGAGAGAAAGGACAGACGCTTCCTGATGACAGATGTACCAGTCTATTGCCCAGTATTGTATCTTACCTGAGCTATATTTACTGCATTAAGGATTCGCCCATCTTTCTCATGATTCCTCGTTTTCTGTAATGTTTGCCATATTATGTCTCTGAATCCATCCTGCCCCTCATCTCCTCGAAGTTCCCATAACATTTTTACCAGGTTGTACACTAAGCCATAGTATCCTGTCCATATCACTGGATCACCTGTTGAAAAAGAAATATTATTTTATGAAGATATAATTTTGTCTAACTTACTAATGTATGGTTTGGGTGAAAAAAAAGAAACTTGATGTTACAAATATTTTAAAGTCTGAAATTCTGAGCTTTGAACCTTTTTCACTCTTTACTGCTTTTACTCCCTGAATTTTCAAAGGTCACAGATCATCTAAAAATTTCTAGCCATGTGAAAAGAACTGCACCTAATATCATACCTCATAAATGTAAACTGTGAGCTCTGAGCTTAAAAAGTCAATCTTTGGAATTCAAGTAACAAGGAATGTATTCAAGGCAAAATGAACACTTAGACCACCATGGTGAGTTTTTATAATAAATCAGAAAAACAGAAGAAAAATCACTGACCATACTAAAAATGATCAAACTCTATGAAACATGACATTTGAACTAAAAAGAAAGCTTTGAAAATAGTGAAAAGCAGACAAAAATTGCTGATATAATTATAGGCTGGAAGATATTTTTTAATAATAGAAACATAAATCAATAGAAACAGGGGAAGAGAATAACGAATCCAGAAGAGATTTTTTTAAAAGTCTGACATAGCCCCTTCTAAAACTTATATATCAATTAGCAATTTAACAAATTATCAAGTTCTACTTTTGAAATATGCATTTCCCTTACAGAACAGAGAAAGAAGATTCTCTTTACTCTTTATCTTAATTATTTCTTACCTAGATGGTATATTGCTATGCAATACAATTCAGGAAAAGAGAATTCTAATTTAGGTAGTGATGAGACAAATAACTTCGGAGAATGAAATAGTACAGGTCTCAAAGGGGACTGAATTTAAGTTAGCCAAAGAGCCACATGGGGGTGAATATGTGTGAAGTGGGGAAGAGGAGCAAGAGGAAGAGAAGATTGAGGAGTGGAGATGCGAGTGTTTTAAAGCCTATTAACTTCTGTATTGTACTTTCCCCCTGAATCCTGATGACAGCCTGTGTGACACTGGGACTCACCAACGCCCTTCTTGTATAATGATAGAAGTTCAACCTGAAAAGACACAATCCTTAACTTTTCCTAATTCAGGGTACTTTTTTATAATCCAAGCTAGTAATAATAGTTATTTTTATTAAAACTAGACTAGTTGGGAGTACCCACTATGTGACTTTATTCTAGTCCTCACTACAGTCCTACTCTGAAGACCGTATTATACTTAGATTAGCAGAAGGGAACATATGTGCTTCAACTGGGTTAGAAAGTCCCCTTGCATCATGTACCTGCTGAGTGACGAAGCCCGGGAGCCACTGTAATCTCATCCCATGCAGCCATTGCAATTCACACAAGTGCTTTTCCTTCCAATCCCCACCTTCTACCCCATTCATAGGAAAAGGAAGAGACTAGAAGGTAGAAAGAGGAAGTAGAAGGAAGGTATGTACACATTTTAGAAATGGGAGGAGGAAGGTATATATGTCCAGCTTCCAGACTTAAGGCACCTTCCACCCTTTCTGTTGTTGAGACTTTAGAAGAGAAAGTATAAGCTACAAATATCAGGCTGCAGTTAAGTAGCCAATTCTTTTGAAAATACAATTTTCCCATCATAAAAACTTTACTAGTTAAAATTGGTGTACTGCAATATTTGAAATTATACAAAGGGGGTGATATGGAAGATCATATGGTGGAGTAGGAAGTCCCCAGCCCTCACCCTCTCACAGAGACAACAATTTGGCAGCCATACATGAACAAAAGTGTCTTTTTACCAGGGAGGAGGTTGTGAAACCCCAGTGGAACTCAAGATGGAGGAGGGCCACTTTGAGAAGGCAAGCCCAGACCCAGGTGGAAGGCTTGTCAACAGTGATATGGTCCCAGCTGTGGGCCTGGAGCATCCCTATCCCCCAGTGACCTTAATCCAGCCTTGCTTATCCACAGTCCTGTCAACAGCCCCATCCACCAAAGGACCTGGGAGGACCCACTCCTGCTGATGCCCTTGGTAACAGGCCCGCTGACTGCCAGCCTTATTGTGGACCCTGAAGCAGCACTGTGACCTGGCTCCAGCCTTACCCCACCATGGTCCAGAGGCAGTTTTTCCCGCCCAGGAATTTACCATGGACCTGGCAGGAACATACACAGGGACCTGGTGACAGCCAATCCCATTCCACCCCTAATGATGGATCCAAGATTTGCAGACCTAGAAGTACTTCCAATGCTAAGCCGCAGCTCTGCTGTTCAACCACAGTCCTGGAGTGGCTCCCATCTGCTCAGGGACCTGGCAGCAAGATGCCCATGCACTACCTGGTAGCAGGCCCACTGACTGCCAGCAGAGAGGTGGCTCTAAGAGAGAAGGCAAAGGATGACAGCGAGGATCTCAAACTGAGCTGAGGTGGAGAGTTCATGTTAGAAAAGGGTAAGGTCAAATAACTAAAGGTAAATGGGGTCAGATTTTGTGGCAGGTATTTGAGCAAAAGACTAATATTATATTTGCTCAATGAAATGTTATGTCTGTTCAAGCAATAAACTGGGAAACCAATATGGGAGTTACATGAGATACTCTAGCTCTCTACTGTGAAGAACAGCAAGAGGTTGGAGAGTGAAGGACAAACCTAACTGTGGAGAAGATCTAATAAGATTAGCTATGGAGGAGGAGGAAGGAATAAAGTAGACAGGGAAGGTGAATGTTTAAGCTCAGGAAACTGAAACAATAATGAACTGCAGAAATGAGATTATGTAGAAAAACTAGTTGGGGGAGAAAGGAGATAAATATTATTTGGAAAATGTGGCAGGATGGGGCTAAGGGAATCTAATTTTCTGTGTCCTATAGCTTGTTGTAAAAATATACCTAAAATTCAAGTGAAATTAAAGATTTGTGACTCTAGCAGACAAATTAGGCTTGAACTCAATATGAGTAGAGAAATAATTATGAGTTTTTTAATTAATAATTCTGGAATTGTGAGCCTTAGAAATAAAAAAGCAGTTTTTGACAATATGATAAATAAAACATATGATGGATTCTAATCCATTTATAAATTTATTTATAGACTCCCAAGTTATTTACATTAGAAAGAATGATTAACAGAAGTACACACAACTCTTTCATATACTTTAAATTATTATTTATGGAGGAACAATATTTTATTGCTTACAATAGTTGAATCATCAAACTAAGTATAGTTTGCTTTTAGAATCCACACGACCAGTGAAGAATCCATAAAACATATTCTGATAACTGTTCTTCAAACTCACAAACCTTTTTAGATGTCATTGGTGATTAAAGTGAGCTGTTCACCTGTTGATTTAAACTATAGTGAAGTATTGCTTACAAACAGTTTGTAGGGAGAATCTTACATCCAATTGACTGACAGTTAATGAAGAAAAAAAACTTTATAAAGACAGATGGGATGTGCTACATCTGTCATAAAAGGTAGAACACATTTTAAAATATGCACATCTAGACATTTGCTGAGAAGCATGCTTGCTGTGAAACTCCGCATCCAGGGAACAAGCTGTAGCATAAGGCACTCTTCCGTTCTGCTTTGAGTGACCCTGTGGCAGCTATTAAAGATGTTACTTTAAATATACTGAGAGAAAATGTGTCTCTGTCTGCAGCTAAGCAGACAGTATCCTAGGAAAAAACAAAGCTAAAGCAAAAAACATTCTTAATAAATCTTAAAAAATTATTAAGAAACTATGCCATTTGAAAATGAATACTATGATCCTTCCTTTGCAGTAATACTTTATTTTAGTGTTTGAACTCCTTGGAAGCCTTTAATTGCCCATCTAGATATTTAGATTTCACATATTCAGTGTATGTGATTGCCCATCTAGATATTCAGTAACATGAGTGTAAATGAATACAACCTTTACAGTTTTGACAAATATAACTTGGCAGAATCAAATGTATTATTGAAAGGTAACCTGAATATAAGATGTAGCTGAAAACATCATCTTTATGAAATGCCATTTAGAATAGAAGAAATTGCATCAATGCCAAGAAACCAAGAATAAGTCAGTAAGCCATTTAACAAATATTTGAGCCACTGCTATGTGTCAACCACTGTTCTATGTACCAAAGAAAAAGACAGTGTGACTGCTCTAGAGACACTTAATTCTAAAGGGAAAAGACAGATACTAAGAAAATAAACAGAACAGCACCACTTCATAATGAATGTTAGGAAATCGTATACAAGAGTAATGTGTTCAAGAAAGAACAGCGGAAGAAACTACTATAAACAGAGGGAGAGAAAGACCTCCATGAAGATGTAGTGTTCAATCTAAGATCTGATGGATAAAAAAATTAACCATCCAAGAAGCTAGGGAAAAGTGTTCCCAGCAGAAGGGATGGAAAATGCAAAGGCTTTGGACCTAGAATAGCTTTACTAGTTTAGAAAAACAGACAAAAGGGCAGACTGAATGGAGTACAAGATTCCTGGGGGAGTCTTGGGGAATCCAAACTTCATAGGAAATAACAATAGGTATCAAAATAGGTAGAAAAACTTGGGATATATTTTGGATGCACAGAAGAATAAATAGGAATTCCAGGGTACCCTTTATTTTCAGAATGTTATAATGACAATGACATATGTATCACTATACACATACATGTGTGTACATATACATATATATAGATACCCACACACACTTAAATATTGATCAAAGGGTTTTCTTGCACATATCATCATATTTGATTATTACACATATTAAACACATATCCAATAGAAAAAATGAATGAGAACCAAAGAATTAAGAATATACCTAGTGTTTGTTGCAGGTGATAAAGAAAACAAAAAAGCAAAAGTCAGCTGATTCTTTTATTAGTGTGGTGCAGTTAACTGAAATGTCATGGTAAATAGGATACCAAAATATCAACAAATATTTAAGGAACTGAGTAGAAATTACCTTGCCTAAATTTTATGGTCTTTTTCCATAGTCAATTATGGAAATCTAAAAATAATTAACTTCTTTCTTCTTTGGTTCTCAGTTATAACTCCAGAAGATCATTTGCTTTTCAAGAACTATTGTGATTCTTATAAAGAAAT